TTGCGTCGATTTGGTGTCGTATCCGGAGGAGCGGACTAGAGCGGCTCTGTCTCTTTGCAGATATAGCTTCCAAGCCACTTTTTATCTACAAGCTCCCCCCAATCATTCAACGCCTCATCCAGCAAGACTATTTTTCTCGTCTTTTTATTTTTTGGTCAATTCCTCCAAGCAGCCGACTCGCGTACATATATCTTTCTAACGCACACTTCGCCTCAAAAGAACTAATTTCAGCTGGCGGTGGCCTCTCAAAAAAAAAAAAAAAAAATCTGCTTTAGGATGCGTCTTAGCTATACGGTTTGTTTGACAGTTTTTAACATCTGGGTGTATTCGACGCACTCCAAGCCTTTTCATGTGGCTTCAAAGACAAACGGAGGGAAGTAAATAAAAGAAATTATTCGTCTGCATTATTTTTTTTCTACAACAATACAGATATCATAGCGAGGTGTTTAAGTGGATTGTGTGGTAACGATGCCAAAAACATAAGTAAATACGCATCCGGGTACAAGAAGGTGACGGGAAGATGAAGTAATTATTTGTTGACTTGAGGAAAAGGTCACATATTTGAAGTAGCTCAGGAAACGAGATATTTTTTTATATCTATGGGAAATGTTTAGAAAAAACAATCTAATAAAACTGAAGTTGCCTTTGAACAACCATGCATCCATTTTCTTCCCCTTTGTCCACCCAATTCAAAAAGCACCAGTCCAAGCTTTTGAACAAATTGGAGATAAAATGAAAGTGATGGGAGATGCCAATATGATCCGATAACAAGTATTACATACAACTGAATTACTGTAATACTTTATTGTATTTACCCCCTACGGAAATTTGTCCTCTGCATTTGACCCATCCATCATTGCCGCAAGGGCCTCTGTCAGTGGTCGCCGTAGTATAACGCCCAGGGACCAATCTCCAGATATTGCTGCTAGGCTTGGCTTGCCAGAGGGGAAATATACTGATGACAAAGCCTCTTGTATTTGACCTACTAGTTTTCATTAGAATAAAAATATAAGGTAGTTGTAGATCTAATATAATACGACCATTACTTATCAAAGTTTTTGACCCAGATTGTTTAAACTTGAATTATGATTATTTATTTTTGCCTCCACTACCTGATTTTGAGCAATAATGAGCTAGTTTGGCTGTTCCAGAAAGAAGCCGATTAGAGCTAACTCAAACAGGCTCCATGGCTGGGAAGATAGAGTCAAATTCTCTCATAGCAACTACCTAGCAACCAAAGAGCCAATAAGGTGCAGTGCCGGTCGGTTCACACTATTCGCCAGTAGATGTCAATTTTGGGGAGTGAACGCAGCTGATTGGTCACTTATTGGGAGCTACAGTATGTCTAAGTGTACAAAGACAATATCAAATTTAATACACCAGACCATGCAATAAGGCCTTTTACTTTTCAAAGAAGGTAAATGGAGACAAAGCAAGCAGAAGCAAGCCTTCACCCATGAGCACTTTCCTACAAGGCTTCATCAAGCTATACAGTCAATGCTATAGATATATGAAAATGAGAATATCGAGAGAATCTATTACAACTAATCAGGCCTTTCTCATCCACACGTCATTATCGGCATCAGGGTTTGGGCGGCTCTTGTCACAATGGGTCGACAGGCTGTCATCACGTCCACTCTTATCCAATCAGAGCCACAATTGTCCGGGATCAGGCTGTCACCGTCCAATCAGTGAGCTCATCAACGTCACGCAGCGCAGCCTCTGCCGCTCACAAATGACGGACATGTTTAAACCTGGACATTAGCAGCCGAAGCCCAGGGGGGGTAATGGACATGCATTTGGTCAGTTGGTATTGTATGGTATGGAATTATTTTCATTTTTTTATAGGACAGTGTTGAAGCAGGAGTGCTAATTCACACCTGTAGTCCCTGAGCAGGTGATGTCACTGTCATTGGTCATCCCGCTCCCTTTGGACCAATGGCCCCAATGTGTTATTATTGCAGTTCCTGTGTATGAACTTGATTTGATTGATTCTCTGATATGCTGTTGATGAATTGACAATTTAAAAGTACTCAGAGACAACTGCTGTTGTGATTTAGGGATTTGCAAAGATACATTTAATTGAATTGAAATATAGGGGTCATTGGTGTACTGCGCAGTGACTTTAAAAGACACTTTTATTTTATTTGATTAATTTATTAAAGGGACAATGCATATTAATATACATTATACATGTAAATATGCCATTTCCATCTGTAGTCCCTGGACAGTTGTTATGTGTCCTCCTGAAGGGAATAAAATTACACATTTATAAAACACACACATTTTGAAACCATTTTCTTTTGCCCCTTCCCTGTCTTCCTCTGTGGTGAAAAGCCGACATTAGTCCAAACAACACACCAAACTTTCACAACATTGTCCCAAGTTGACAGACACCAACACAGAAGAAAAAATAAAATCAAAACTGCAGTGTGAAACGCTTTTAGAATCAAAATTTTTAGGCAAAGCCGTTTCTGGGGGAATGTCACCTCAAAGGACATAGAAAGTTAAATACATACATCACAGTGTTTTTCCTGCTTATCTTGTCTTTCCTTGGCAGAAATGTGCCACATCGTTGTATAAACTTATCTATGTTTGATTTATTAAATTCCCCGGGGAGTTTATTGCCAAAAATACATTGTTTTTTGTCTCGTTTCTGCTAAGATTGATGGGGTTTATACCATCTTGGCAAAACAAACGCAAAGCTCGTTTTATACATTACTTTTCAAGGTACGATCAGTTTCCATTCAAATGTTTCTATGTTATGTTCACAGAAGAATCTTTTCATGGCAGAGTCCTTGGTCTTTGGCTTCAACATTATGTGAAAAAAGCTCTATGTTTGCATATTTGACCCAGTGATCTTATAAATATCTTCACTTTTCAGATTCAGATTCAGTTTATTTCCCATTTGCAGTAAAACCACATTGGAAAACCTGATCCTGGTTGTGTCCACAGCGCTGCAGGGTCAATTGTTTTGTAGATTTTCTGTTGCGGGGTTCCCACATCAAACAATTGATCTTATAGCAACTCCAGAGAGCACATCACCCCCGTCCTCAAACAACTCCACTGGCTCCCCGTCCCATACTGAATACAGTACAAGGTCCTGCTCCTCACTAACAAGTCCCGCCATAACCTGGCCCACTGTCACTGTCACCCGCCGCTTCAGATCCACAGAATCCAACCTCCTCACTCCCATCAGAACAAAGTGCCAAACCTTGGGGGGCTGAGCCTTAACTGCTGCTGCCCCTACTCTCTGGAAGTCACTCCCACAACACATCAGAAACTTGAACTCACTTTAGAGCTTCAAACCACTGCTCAAATCCCACCTGTTCAAACTGCCTTTTCTTAACTGTTTCTGATTTGATCTTCTGTACAGCGTCTTTGAGTGTCAAAAAAGCGCGACATAAGTTATTATTATCATTCTAGAGATTACCGTGATGGACAGTAGACTCATACAGCCATATGAAAAATATGACAAAACATTTTCACATATAAGGTTTCTTAATGCCCTTTTAAATATCTAAACTGGTAAATAAAAATTTCAATCGCCAGACGTAATCTTGATGCATCAATGAAACGTCTGTAAATGTTCAAATATAAGAGCCAAATAATCAAAGACTGCTGTTTGCCCCTTGAGTGCAAGGAGGATCAAACCAAATCTAATAGATGTTTTAAATGTAAACCTGAACATTTACTTTACAAATCTGCCAGAGAAACACATCAAAAACCTGATTTGAAAAGCCTTTGGTTCCACCTCTAAGCCCCACTGTTCAAAGAGGACGGGGAAAAAAGGCAGAGAGAGAAGGAAATGTGCTCGATTTTCAAAACGCTTCTTGTGTTTGGCTTAACAATCGCTAGCCAATTTCCAGTGTCCGTGGTGGAATCGCAATGCTTTTTTTAAATACATAAGCGCATACACACACAGCAGAAACAACTGTTCAGAAAGAATCGGCAAAGCTATGCATGCTAAAGGGGAGAAAGCCATGGATGGATGAGCATAGTGGCTTATTGATTGTGGATGTAAAAGCTTAGCAAGCTAACTAAATGCGCACACACACACACACTCACTGGCCATTTCCTCCGACTCTTGCGCACAGATGAGAGGATATGAAATGAAGTGGAATAGGAAAGACCAAAGCAAACCATCCATGTAGTCGGTCAACCCTTGGGCTCCTATGTCCGCGACTTGGAGCGATGCCGAGCCAGACATCCAGTCACCCCCCATCCCCCCGGAGAATATAATGGTCAAGATAAATGCAGTGCAAATATAGTGGATGTTTCTCTCTAGCGACACAAAGCAGCTATGTGCAAAATTATGGTTAGCATATTTTTAATTCTAAAGCTAAAGCTCTAACATGGGGAGCACAGTTGGGTTCCATAAGGCTACTGCTTTAAGCCAAAATAGGGACTAACTTAATTTGCTAATATGTAATCTACAGTCATCTAATAGGATGCTCTTGTTCACATATTTCAGTGGATCCCAGATTCTTGGAAAAATGTGTCGTTTTTGTCAGTTTGGGTTCAATAGTGGTTGCCAGTTTGGCGAGGCAACCCTTGTTTGGGTATGAAACTACACCATCCTGTAAATTTTTTGAAATTGCTTCACTTTTTTGAGTACTTTGTCAGCCAATTTTAACAGCTTAAAAGTATCCCACTACGAATTGGTCTTTGAAATGTTAAAATATCCATCTATCAATAGGACAAAATGTTCTGGTATCGGGTTGAAACACACAGTACCACGCATCCCAAAATCTTGTGGCTCTAAATTCTCTCCGATTGAAAACAAAAAATGACTAACCTTTTGCCGTGCCTAGAGAGACAACTTCCAGCCGCACCGGACAAAAATGATATGTGAGGGGGGAAAGATTTGGGAAGGGGTGGAGCAAGTGTTGGTTTTTGTGGAGATTTTTCGAAGGGATAGTGGAAAGTGAGGTTTTCGGGAGAAGGATGTGATGGTATAGCAGTGGACAACAGAAGAAACTTAAAAGAGTAGCCCATACCTTGGTCGCCAATCATCAGGTGTGCCAGACCTTGAAGGAAGACAAGAGCACAGTCAGCACAGCAAGGAACCATGGGAAGTGTAGTCTTTGTTGATGCGTTTTTATTACATTACTTTCATGCTTGACTTTATGTGTAGGAAAACTCCACTTACTCATCCTATAGGTCAAAGTATCTCTCAAAACATGATAATTAGACTAATTATATGCAAATAGATAGTGAATTTATGTGTGATTACTATTACTTACCACATTTCTGCATCCAAACTTACACACGGACGCACAGACCAGCATCACAAACTATAATTGCAATTGATGGTAAAGAGACGTTGCAATGTCTAGCAGTAGCATTTGTTGTAGTAGTAAAGGTATTGTAAAGGACTATGGTTGTAATTAGCAGTAGCGTTTTGGCAGGATATAGCGAAAGAGGGACCTACCTGGGGTGTAGATGTGCTCTGGGGGAGGGGAGGGGCGAGCCGGAGCCGAGCGAGGAGGAGGAGAGAGAGACAGACATTCGTTAACATGCGTTTACTTACTGTACATGCACAACCGTCCGCGATACCAAGGATACAGACATGCAAAAAAGGACACCACAGAGAACTATATATAAATAGAAATCATAATACTATAAGAGGCATGCAGAGGAGGAAAAACTGCATTCGTACAGCAGTGTTAGTCATGGACAAGTCAGTCGATGTGAGAAGACAACAGAGAGTGCAACGGTAAGAAGTTGGGGATCAAATTTGGTCTTTCTCACCTGCTGTCTTTAGAATAATCCATCATTTTCACCTCTAACTCAATATTTTAGGCGAAAGACAGACAGTAGTCAGTAGAATTTATAGAGAACTACTTAAACCTATAAGGGGAAAGATTTGACAGAGAGTCGCTGTATAAAAAGTGTCCTGGATTCAGGAGCTCATGTAGTATTTTAATTAAAGACTATGCAAACTTACGCCGACAATCCACACAGCTATTGCAGTGATTGCTGACCTGTTTTTACATTTTAAAAAACATAAAAAAGATGAACTTACAAATCCAAGAACTAAAAAGGGGATGTATTGATTTATATTAATATACAGTATTTGTGTAGCCCTAGTGCCAAGTGGCATCAACTGGAACAGAAAGTTGAAATAAACAGTATCTAACCAATTTGTTTGCATTTAACTTTGATACAATGATGCGACGGCTCTACTATATTGTGTGCTGAACTTGCAAGTGTTTACCTATGCAAACTAAATTGTACTAGACCTTTCTCTCACGACCTTAGTAGATTTTACTTTTTCATATATCATCGTTCAAAGCATTATTTTGTGAGGTCTACATTGACTGGCCCCAAGAAGACCTAGAATAGTGTCCAAACTTTTAACTAAGATGGCCACATTAGTTTGCCAGACTTCTCCAGGGGCCACAACTATTTTGAGATGCTAAATGAGGTATAACATGTGCATTTATACACATATACACATCTGTGAGAGCTGAGGTTAGTTGAATAGCTTTCTCAATAGCTACATCAGTGCCATAGACACATTGTCGTGCCATAACGTCAGTAACAAATAGATGTATTTAAAAGGTGTTGAGATTTAAAACGAGGAATAACATGCATGTATTAGAGAAGCAGAGGTTGATTGGATAACTCTACAAACTTGTGTTTATAATCTCAATGGTATTTTGGGTTAGCAAGGCATAGGGTCACTTACTGTATAGTGACACAGCAGGCCGCCATTTGCCTTGAGGCCTTAGTTTGGACATGCCTAACCTAGACATTCTGAAAATGTCTGGCTTCAGAATTATTCTAATTGGGGACATGTTTCTGTTGATTAATCAGTCTTTGTTCTGGGTTGCTTGGACAAAACAAATGTCTTATTCAAGTTTGTACTATGTTTCCTTCAACTAAGTATCCAGTCTGATATTCCATGTGTTATTGATCATTTGCAACAGCTGCTCTGTCCATCTTATCTCGTACAGGTCAAGTATTTATGGGTATTTTTGGCTAATTCAGTTCCATTACTTCAACTTTGATCTTTGTTCTCGTACCGTTGCACCCTTCACAGACTGAGACCGATAACTCCTACCTGGACGTAAGGATTCAAGAGTCGTTCAACCCTCCACTTACCTTCAAGCCTCTTCTCTTCCTCTCCAGAGATCCCCCCGAAAAACACAAAGCATGCAACACACCACAGCCACCACCAGCTCATTCTCTCACCCTCTCGCACAAACAAACACTGACTATGGCAAGTTTACATGATGAGAACGTGGATGGATTAGCAGTGCAAGGGAGACAAAAGGGCATGCATGATTCATAAGAGTAAATGCGGAGTGTGGCTTTTAAAGTGGGGTTGTATGGGAGACCTATATGCCTGCGTGGTCTGCTGCATCTAATGTGGCAATTAGTCTGGTCACTGGGAAGGAAGATGGCTGCCAGGGATGTGCATCTAGCAAAGAAAATCAATTCTTTTTTTTTTTTTTTTACTTGTAGGAGAAATGTAAAAAAAAAAAGCCTTTTTTATGGTATGTTGATTACTATTGTGTTAAAGCTGAGGTCAATAAACTGACTAAACTGAACATGTGTCTCACTGTCAAACCACTAAATTAGTTAGCAACTCTTAAAACAGTTTAATGTATCAATAGTTTTCAAATGGCCTCTGTTACATCTTTGGATCAACTTTTTTCAGCCAATCGCCCAATCAGCTCTCAGCCCAAAGTGTCAAACAGTGGCTTGCAGGGCTTTTTTCTTACAAGTTTTCAAAATAATAAATGTTATTATACATTTTCTAATTAGATGAAGAGAGCATGTTGTGGTCTGATTTGTTCATTTACTTTACTAAAGCGGCCTTAGTGCCCAGATAGGCGCCATATAAATAAAATGTTTTATGGTATCATTGTTACTTTTGCAAGACTCTTTCTGTTGGGACAAAGATGATGTAATTATTCATTTATGAAACAGAAGTAAATAAGTACCACAGCTTTAAATATATCTCCTGATTAAGAAAAAATAAGACAGTTTATCTCTGAAATTAAGGCAATAATAAAAAAAAAACACGAATTAGCATATTAAGAGGATATCAATCATGATTGTTGAAAATTCTGTCATTTATAGACATAAAGTAATAAAAAAAAAAAAAATGAGATTGTGTTATATTTCAAATTGAGCCTGGAACCATTCACACCCCATACAACACCACTTTAAAACACAAACACAACCTTCATAAAGGGATGTTTGGGGTTGTATAACAATAAATAAGAGTTGGCATGTATTGTGTGAATGTGTTTCCCCTACGTGTGTGCTCGCTCGTGTGCCTTTGCCCTTGTGCAGAATCAGGTGAATCTATTAGCATGCTAACGCTGCCATAGCCTCCAGGCGCAATACTAGCTGGGCTGGTGCCTAACAAGCCCGGTCAGAGTGGCCTCACCGCGGGGCAACAGGCTTCAGCAGTGATCACATCCAGAGCAAAACAACGGATTGCAAACTAATCGGACTTTATCGGAAAATATATGGGTTTCTGAACAGGCTACGAGAATGAGGAATGCTAGCCCCAACAAACAAGATACAAACTTCATACGGGACTAAACCTGGACAAAGCTATAGTCGCAAATTCATTACCATATAACTAGATTGAAGCTGGGGTACCTTACTTGGAGACTGGAATTCTGCAATAAAATTCATGTAGCTAGTTTCAATATTTTTCATAGGTATGTATTTTTGGCCTCTGTCACGTCTTCAGACTTTTTTCTGCCAAAAAAGATGTATGCAAAAGGCAAAATGTTTTCTAACCAGATAAAGATGAAAAAAATAAAGCATCGGTCGGACTTGCTTACAACATTTTACTTTTACAAAACTCTTTCTGGTGGGACAAACACAGATGTATTATATAGTTATAAGTATTAATTTAGCTTTGAGTTGTAACTGAATAGAGTACTGACTAAGCTAGTGAACAGCCAAAATAAAACAAGAATGAATACAGCTAAATAGGCAAAATTGTGAGAACAAAAAGGGCTCAACCACTGCAGCAGGTCAGTAACTTGGGGACTACAAAGACCAACTACAAAGACTCAACTTGTTCTAACCCAGGCATAAGCAGGACAATTTTTTTGTATTTATTATTTTATTTAATCAGCTCCAGGTTCAGCACTTCCCTATCGGGCTTCATTGAGCTAGGGCGAAGACCAAGATAGATACGATTTTTTCCTTGCAAACCCAACTCATATTTTTCCATCTCTCCTCCATGTTGTTTTGATTTCACCTTAGTATGCATCCAGTTGTAACAAACATATTAAAAAGTAATTTCCTCTCGGTTTGATTAGAAAAATAACAGCCTAGTATTTCCAAAAGGTAGATCATTAGTGCGGAGGGAATATGGCCTCATGTTGTAAATGCGAATCCAAACTTGTTCAGACGTTCTTAAATTGGTTTCTTTCTCTTTCTTTCACCAGCGTCCATGGTTGGTTCATTTCATATTAAAGCAGACATTTTCTCCGTAATTTCATCTTTTCCCGGATATATTTCTTTGTTACGGGGTTGCCGGGTTCAACAAAACAGCATCATTTCACATAAGAGAGAGAAGAGGAATGACTAAGCCTGCTCTTGCAAAAATAAACAGGCATAAACATATTACTTGTGCACTTCAAGGCAACCGCACGGAGGCTACAAGGACGGAGCAGCAAGTGTGACGGGGAACAAGACCTGGGAGTTCACAACATAATGCTTTTTAGCCTATTATAGGTTATGAACTACAGCTTACATACTATAAATGACAGATTATAAATGTATAGTGACATCAATAAAGCTAATTGGATCTTATCTACTGCTTGAAATTCTCTTTGTTTGGGCAAAATTAACATTTCTCACTGTTTAATATCCTTCCTATGTTGGGGATTTCAAATTATGGCAGTATTGTATTACATACCATGCTTCTAAGTTTTTTAGTTGTGGTTAGCTATGCTTCTAAGTTCAGTAATTGTGCTTCCAAGTTTGTTGATTGTGCTTCTCAGTTCACAAATTGTGGTTAACCATGCTTCTAAGTTAGTTAATTATGGTAATCCATTGTTCTCAGTTCACAAATTGTGGTTAACCATGCTACTAAGTTAGTTAATGATGGTTATCCATACTTCTAAGTTTACCTATTGTGACCATGCTTCTAAGTTAACAAATTAACAAAACATGCTTATACGTTCATTAATTCATTGTGGTTCGCCATACTCACAAATTGTGGTTAGCCAGGCTTCTGTGTTCAAAAATTGTGGACAGCCATGCTTCTAAGTTCATTCATTGTCCTTCTAAGTTCATTAAAATGTGGTTACCCATGCTTTTAAGTTCACTATTTACAGGTAGCTACATTTCTAAATTCACAAATTGGGATTAGCCATGCTTCTGAGTTCACCAATTGTGGTTAGCAATGTTTCTAAAATCATTAATTGTGGTTAGCCATGCTTCTAAATTCACTATTTGTGGTGAGCC